AGAGGTGAGAAATAACAGACCTCAACTCTATTGTCCCTCTGCAAATTTGCGTACACAGAGTCAATCCCTTACCTCTCTCTAGAAGTGCAAAGTTTCAAAAAGTTCAATGAACAGAAGATTGTTGGGGGCGGAATAGATCTGGACAAGGAGAAGAAGTCTGGAGGTAAATGTGAGAAGCGAGGGACATATGCTTTTTTGTTAAAATATTATATGTTTGCTGTTGAAGAAAAAAATCCAAAATACTTAACTTTGTTGTTTTAGTTAAATAAAACAATTTAAATGTCTGTCTGGTGATGTTCTCTTCGTAATACAGCCTGGCAAGAAAATCCTCTAAATATTAATGATTAACCTGTTGAGTTGGTTCACCTCCCAATGACTTCATAAATATCTGTGGTGAGTGTGTCAGTTCTCAGCACCCCGGGTGGGTGGGGGGAGGGATCCCCTCAGACCGCTCCATACTCACAGCCCTTTCCCTGCTGCTGAGCTAATCTGTTCAGAGTCCGGTTGAAGCTGAACAGGTAGCGATGGATCAGCAGCTCCAGGTCCTGCCACTGCTTCGGGGTCAGGCCCTGCTGGGCCCAGGGCTGCAGGAAGCGGATCTCGCTGGTGCTGCAGTCCAGGGAGTGGGTCTCCAGCAGGGCTCTTATCTCCGCGTCTGTGGAGCTGGCGTTGTGGAAGACGTCGATTTGGAGCAGCCGGAGGGTGACAGACGGTGGTGGGAGAGGAGGGGAGGCTGGGGCCAGGAAACAAGTGGAGGACAAAGCGGGTGGGGAGAGAGATTAATGAGTCTCTGTCCCATGAACAATCCTGCACTACGGGGTCACCCTGCTGATCCCTAACCTGCCTCCCCCGTCCTACTCCCCCAGCCAGGGTCACTAGCCCAGCCTGGTACTTCCCCACCCTGGCCCTAGGATTACACCATCCCCACGCATCCCGGTAGCAAAACCAGCAGGGGGGGGTCCCCACTTACCGGCCAGGGCCCACCATGCCCAGGGGAGGAACAGCAGAGGGAGCAGCATCCCGGCAGGGGAAGGGGGATCCAGGCTCTGGTGGGCGTCAGGGCAGCGAGACGAGGGACCCAGGATCCTCAGGTGCTTTCAGTTCCTCCGCAGCCCACACGCCTCCCTGCCAACTTCTCCCTTTGTCGGTCTCTGCTCAGCTCTGTCCCCGCAGCTGCCAGCCCCGAGCCAATGAGGGCAGAGTGAGTCGGGGAGCGGGGGCAGCGCGGGACGGGGATCCCTGGCAGCAAGGTCAGAAGAACACTCCCAAAGGACAAAAGTTTTATCGATGAAAAGTGCCAGTTTCAACAGCGCTCTCCTGCCGACAAAGCCGCTCCCGCTCCTGGGGGGAGGATGTTTTTTGCCGGCAGGAGACGTCTCTCGTCCCCACAAACAGCAGCTACTCTGTGCGCCATTTAGCGGCCACAGCCTAAGTGTGTGTGACGCCCCCTCCATCTCCTCCAGCCTGTGGTACCACTGCTCCCCGCAAAGCCCCCCGCACTGCCCAGGGGCATCGGGTCAGCCCTGACTGCCCGGGGAAAGCCCCCTGCTGCCCCCGCCCCACCCCCTGCAGCACAGCCCCTAGCGCCGCCCTGGGGCATCGGGTCAGTCCTGACTGCCCGGGGAGAGCCCCCGGTGCCCTCGCTCCACCCCCTGCAGCCCAGCCCCTAGCGCCGCCCTGGGGCCATGGGGAGCCCTGACTGCCCGGGCAGAGCCCCCTGCTGCCCCCCACCCTGCCCCCTGCAGCACAGCCCCTAGCAGCGCTGTCATAACTATAAAGGGAAGGGTAACAGCCCTCCTGTGTACAATACTATAATCCCTCCTGGCCAGAGACACCAAAATCCTTTTACCTGTAAAGGGTTAAGAAGCTCAGGTAACCTGGCTGACACCTGACCCAAAGGACCGATAAGGGGACAAGATACTTTCAAATCTTGGTGGGGGGAAGGCTTTTGTTTGTGCTCTTTGTTTTGGGGGGTTGTTCGCTCTTGGGACTAAGAGGGACCAGACATCAATCCAGGCTCTCCAAATCTTCTGAACAAGTCTCTCCTATTTCAAACTTGTAAGTAACAGCTAGGCAAGGCGTGTTAGGTTTATCTTTGTTTTCTCAACTTGTAAATGTTCCTTTTTGCTAGAGTGTTTATCTCTGTTTGCTGTAACTTTGAACCTAAGGCTAGAGGGGGTTCCTCTGGGCTCTTTAAGTTTGATTACCCTCTAAAGTTATTTTCCATCCTCATTTTACAGAGATGATTTTTACCTTTCTTTCTTTAATTAAATGTCTTCTTTTTAAGAACCTGATTGAGTTTTCCTTGTTTTAAGATCCAAGGGGATTGATCTGGACTCACCAGGAATTGGTGGGGGGAAAGGGAAAGCGGGGGGGATGATTAATTCCTCCTTGTTTTAAGCTCCTAGGGGTTTTGGATCAGTGTTCACCAGGGAATTGGTGGAAGAGTCTCTCAAGGCTACCCAGGGAAGGGAATTAGCACATTGGGAGTGGTGGCAGCAAAAGCAGATCTAAGCTGGTAGAGAAGCTTAGAGGTTTTCATGCAGGTCCCTACATGTACCCTAAAGTTCAGAGTGGGGAAGGAATCTTGACAGCCACCCTGGGGCAATGGGGCCTGTGCCAGTGCCACTCGTTATGGGGACAAATGGTTATGAAAACCAAGACCCCAGTAAAAGAAAAAGGTTCTCCTGATCCCAAAGGACCAAGCCCCAGACCCAGGTCAATATTCAAGTCAATATTTATTAATTTAATTATTTAGCCTACATATCTATCTGCCATGAGGCTGCATCAATTGAAAAAAAAAATAAAAAATGAAATTTTATTCCTATCAGTTCTTGTTCACTATTAAAAGTAAAGAATAGAGAATACATGTCACTTACTAACTGAGTCACTATTTGAATTTCATCAACTGTTTGATTGAAACATTGATTAAGAGATCAAGATGACTTTTCCTTAAAATTAAGCACTGTTGATTGTAATCGGAAATACACCATTTTTAGTCAGGTATACGTCCTTCATTCTTTCATATCAAAATCTACTACATTTTATTCTACCTTTAGAATATCCAATTATTGTTATTAATAAAGTTAGAATGGCAAATACTCAGTCATACAACAGACAATATCAATATGACAAATTTCAACAACAAACACACGCATATTCGCACATAATAAACATATACACTCAAATACTTCACATACACAACTGACACAAAGTATTAGCGAAATGATGCAGCAGCAATTGCCAGAGTCTTAGATCTGAAACAACTCAACACATGTTTTTGTAGATACAGACTAACACGGCTACCTCCTGATACTTAACTCAACACAAATAGTTGCCTCAGTCGACAACTTCCAAAAACTAGTAAACGTAGCATTCTAAACAGCCTGTCAGAATGGGTAACGGCTGCGCGCGATGAGAAAAATGATGTCATTGCCACTTTGTACCGTAGTGAAGCAGTACGCTTGTGCCTGCAACGCAGAGCTGGTGTAGGGAGGGTTACCATATTTGGATACAATGTGATTGTCAGAGAGGGAGGATTTGGCCCATGAAACAATAACTGTATTAAGATGCGGCCTGTGAAAAAGTTTGAGAAACCTTGACTTAAATTTCGTTGGTGACATGATGTAATATTCAGTATTGCCAACCTCAAACATTCAGAACTCATGAGTTGGGCCCCCACAAAATCACTCGATATCTCACCTATCAGTCCTCATCCTCAAAGGAAACCTGCAAAACACTTTTCAAAACATGAGCCTGGGAGTGTGAATTCAAAATGTTGCTAGACATTAAAAATCATGATCTTCATAAAGATACTGGATTTATGGTTAATTACAACAATTTGCAACCCACTAATCTCCCCTTTTGTCCTGGGATTACAAGGGAGTTAATGGGCTACTTCACCTTGAATGGTCCCCTTGAATATGTGCTAACTACTTGTGCTAAACTGTTAGATCTAGTGTTTAACTGTGACACTGTTAGTACCTTTTCAGACCTGAAGAACTCTGTGTATCTCAAAAACTTGTCCTTCTCACTAACAGAAGTTGGTCCAATAAAAGATCTCACCTCACCCACTTTGTCTCTTTTAAATAATGTGACAGCACAAGGGATTGTATAAAATCATGTGTCCCTGTAGCTAAACCCCATCACCCTGGTCCTTTTCAGGTGTTCATAGTGTGACAAAGTTCCTCCTCTATCTTGGTGGGTCCTGCGCTTATTGGCAGATTTTCTTGCCTCAGAGATTCACCATGTGGGTTGGGGAACAGCCCAGAGACCTTCCCCTCTGGAAGAACCCACAGTCCAGGTCAATTGGGAGGTTTGGGGGGAACCCGGGCCCGCCCTCTACTCCGGGTTCCAGCCCAGGGCCCTGTGGACTGCAGCTGTCTATAGTGCCTCCTGTAACAGCTGCATGACAGCTACAACTCCCTGGGCTACTTCCCCATGGCCTCCTCCAAACACCTTCCTTATTCTCACCACAGGACCTTCCTCCTGGTGTCTGATAACGCTTGTGCTCCTCAGTCCTCCAGCAGCACACCCTCTCACTCTCAGCTCCTTGCGCCTCTTGCTCCCAGCTCCTCACACTCCCACCACAAACTGAAGTGAGCTCCTTTTAAAACCCAGGTGCCCTGATTAGCCTGCCTTAATTGATTCTAGCCGCTTCTTCTTAATTGGATCCAGGTGTCCTAATTAGCCTGCCTGCCTTAACTGGTTCTAGCAGGTTCCTGATTACTCTAGTGCAGCCCCTGCTCTGGTCACTCAGGGAACAGAAAACTACTCATCCAGTGACCAGTATATTTGCCCTCTACCAGACTCCTGTACCCCACTGGTCTGGGTCTGTCACAGTACATTTAAAATATAAAATCAGCTTAGAAATACTGATTAAGAAAATGTCAAACAGAGAAGAGCTGCATCATGTATCCCATAATATTGAATGTTGTATTCAGCATGAGGCTGACTCGCCCTTACTACAAAGTTTTTGCAAATAAATGTCTGACAAACTTCAGGGCATATCAAAAAACCTGTGACTGACATTTTTTATTCCCAAGTTTAGTGCTTTCATTAGGTACCTTCTGCATGTCCATTCTGCGTGAGGGAGAGGGTACAGGGGTCTCTGCGGGGAACTGTGACTCTACGCCACCGTGCGGCGGGCCGGGCGTCTTGTTGTTCTTTCTGCCCTGTCCCTCCGCCCCTGCCCCCACCCCTGCTAGGCTGCGAGCCTGGGTTGCCAAAGGCATAGGGGCACCAGTTTAATAATACTGCATAGGGCCCCATAAACCCTAAGGACAGCCCTGGGGGTGCCAAAAAGCAGTCACCCTCTCCCTGGCCATAGCAAAACTGGTTCAACACAGACAACTGCTCAGAGTAATAAACATACCAACATTGTTAGAAACTGGACTTTCAAGAGGATACAGTTTCTGCTTGTGACAGTGTACCCCATAAGGCTTTATGGGGTGGGGTGCTTATAAATGTATGTATGACATAACTGGAATATGTTTTGTGCTTCCTGTGCCAGGTAACATATCTCCGTAAAGGTTATGGTCTACTATATCTATTCATCCTATTTGTACATATATATATCATTTTCTACTTGAGGTTAAGAATATGGGCTGTATGCTTGCTTGGTTTCTAAGTAAGCTTTGGGAGGCATTTGGTCAGCTTCTTTAGGAAGGAATTCGCCAGGTTAAGTACCTGATCAGGAAACACTTGGGGAACAATGCATCCTGGAATGCTCCAATCCACATAAGAAGTCTTCCTGGAGACATGCAAGATACCATGTGGACAATGGCGTCGGCCTGTAAAGACTGAGTCATGCAGGGACATGTGACTTGCCCAGGTGACTCCAGAACTCCATCTTGGAGCTGGACTTTGCATAGGAGGGAGGAGGGGGGTCTCCACCCACAAGAGAGAGTCTATTTAAACCCGTGGGAGACCCCTCCATGGGGTCTTCAGCTGGCTAAAGAAGGAGCCTCTCCACCCCCCACAGGATACTTGAAGGAAACTGAAACAAAGGACAGTAACTACAGGGGTTGTGAGTGATTGCTGGACCCAGGCTAAAAGGAGATTAGCCTGTAAAAGGCAGCATTCTGGAACTGGTGAGGAACTTATCTGTATTTAGTTTGATTAGACATAGATTTGCGCATTTTATTTTATTTTGCTTGTGACTTACTTTGTTCTGTCTGTTACTGCTTGGAACCACTTAAATCCTACTGTCTGTATTTAATAAAATCACTTTTTATTTAGTAATTTACTCAGAGTATGTATTAATACCTGGGGGAGCAAACAGCTGTGCATATCTCTCTATCAGTGTTATAGAGGGCGAACAATTTATGAGTTTGCCCTGCATAAGCTTTATGCAGGGTAAAACGGATTTATCTGGGTTTAGACCCCATTGGGAGTTGGGCATCTGAGTGCTAGAGACAAGCACACTTCTGTGAGCTGTTTTCAGGTAAACTTGCAGCTTTGGGGCAAGTGATTCAGACCCTGGGTCTGTGTTAGAGCAGATGTGAGTGTCTGGCTCAGCAAGACAGGGTGCTGGAGTCCTGAGCTGGCAGGGAAAACAGGAGCAGGGGTAGTCTTGGCACATCAGGTGGCACCTCCCAAGCGGGTTTCTGTGATCCAACCCGTCACACTGCTGTTCTTCCCTTGCTTTTTTAACTTGGAGTTGAAGTCTGGCAGTTTCTTGTCGCATCTGGCGAACCCTCTCCTCAGCAGCCAGCAGCTCCATACGCTCCCTACGAGCCCTTTCCTCTCTTTCAGCAGCTTCCTTCTGTCCTTCAGCAGCTTCTATTCCCAGCTGGGCCAAGGCTTGCCTCTCTCTCATTCGAAGTTCTGCCAGTTTTTGTTTCTTCCAGGCTGTCTCTCAGGGCTTGCAGTTCCATTGCTTCTGCTGGTGCTTTCTGGCTCATGGTTACTGATCTTTAATCAACAATACCAAAATTCAAATGTGGATAGCGTGGGGTTCTGATCCAGAGCTTCATTGACCTGGTTCTGCGGATTCTGCCGACTACGCCGCTGTGACGATGCTGGTTCTGGTGGGACCCAACAGAGAGCGCGAATTCAGGACAAATCGCTTAGAGCAGGGCACAGGTCCAAGTCCCCAGGAGAGGGGCCGATCCCCACGCCTGGGCCGGTGCCGCTGCCTCAGACCCTGGACTCCCCTGGTCCAACATCCTGGTAGCCCCTGGAAGGAGAGAGCAGAGGGGATGGGTTAGGGGGTGCAATGGCCCCACCCCCACCCCAGAGAGGGGAGGACTCACCTGCGTCTGCTCCGCCACAGCACCACGGCCACGGCGGCTACGGCTACGGCCAGAACCCCCAGGGTGATGCCCACGACCAGGCCGGGGCCCCAGCGCCTGCTCTGCTCTGTAAAACAGGGGGTGCCGTGCTGGGAACGGGGACAGGAGTGTGGGCAGCCTCCCACACAGTCCCCCCACCCCCGATCATCTCACCCGACCCACTGCCCTCAGCCCCCCTGACCCTGTTCCCTCAGCCTCCCCTGCAGTCCCACCCCTCCTCCCCCCACCTTCCCACCCCCTCAGCTTCCCTCCACTCTAGTCCTGCCCCCCCATCCCAGTCTTGTCCCGTTCCCCTCAGCTCCTCCATCCCCCTGATCCATCTCCACACCCCCACCCACCCCCTCTGCCTCCCTCCGCCCCAATCCCGCTGCCTGGACCCACCCCCGTCCCACTCAGGACGTGCAGGAAAAGCCCCCAGAGACAACGACCGCCCCCCCCTTCCCCGGGGACATGCACCTACCCCAGGGGATCAGCAGGCTCCGGCCACCCAGGCTGCTGTGCTGCACCCGGCAGGCGTAGCTGTGCCCGGGGCCCGGCTCCACGGCCAGGGAGCTGCGCAGCTGGTAGGTCAGGTCCGCGTTGGGCAGGATCCCGCTGGAGTTCAGCCGCCCGCCCGGCCCCACCTCCTCCCCGTCCTGCAGCCAGGCCACGCGGACGGGCCGGGGGTAGAAACCGGTGACGCGGCAAACCAGCAGTACCGGCGCGGGGGTCCCGGCTGGGGGAGGCGCTCGGGCAAACACCACGGCGACCGGCCGCTCTGAGACAGGAGGAGAGAGACGGGGCGGGGGAGAGGAGATGATTCAGTCTGAGCCTCAGGGACTCACTAGCCAAGCCCAGCTCCATTCCCCGCGGTCAGGCGTTGGCCCCGCTGTCCCGGCCAGACCCCTGCAGTTACCACTGGTGACGGAACCCTCTTCACTTCCTGTCCTAAACTGGTCTGCAGTGCGGCTATGAAATGGCTACTGTGCTCCACCCCAGATATAGCTGTATTTGTACACCAGGCAAGGGATCCCTGGATAAACAGCCCCCTGCCCCACCCCAGAGGTGGCTGCATCTCAGTACCAGATGAGGGATCTTTGTATAAGCAGCCCCCCCGGCCCAACCTGAGATGGCTGCATATGAGCACTTGGTGGGGGATCCCTGTATAAACAGCAAACACACCCTACCCCAGAGGTGGCTGCATCTCCGCGAGCGGGGAGGGGTGTCCAGCCTCACCTTGTCTCTCCAGAGACTCGTTCCCATGCTGGACAAAGCTCTTGAGCTGATTGACACACGTTGTTCTCAGGAGAAACTGAAGCATGCTGGCTGTGCCCTTATCCTGGTTGAGAAGGTCCCGGGCGTAGAGCGCCAGCTTGTCCCCCTGCCGAGCCACCCATTTCCCTGTGTCCGCGTCGAAGCTGATGAAGTCCTCGCCATTCACCGCAGTGTCATAGAATCCCCTCGAGGTGCCGTTGGGGTGCAGCTCGCAGACGAGGGAGCCCTGGGTAACAAAGGGGTCTGGAACAGGAAGGGCAGGGGGATGAGGACGGGCGTCCGGAGGTCCCAGGAGGGGGCAGAAACACAGAGCCGGGGGGAGTAAAGACATAACATCAGGTGCCATGAGGATGTTGGGCCACACGATGGCGGCAGGATTGTGGGGCGGCCCTGGTTGAGGTTAAGGGTAAGTTGCAGTTTCTGTTTAAAGCCGATTTTTTCACGGGCATAGTCAGATTGGTTTTAAAATCGCTGCGTTACATCGGGGCCTGAGGCAGAGTTTGTGGTACTAATTTGGGGTCCCTTGGTCACGGGGTTCCTGAGATACGGACCCCCCCAAATGACCTGCTTTTCAAAGGCTCAGGGTACGTGTCAGGAAAGACCAGGAGCGTCGGCTCAGGGAGTGGGACACGGGGCCTTTCCCCTCTAGGAAGTGCAGGCTACAATCTGACCACAGAGCTGGTGTTTCCCCTCTGGGGGACGCCGGCTCCAATCAGCCAAAGGGCCAGGGACTGGCTGTCTTACCCACAGTGACACACTCAGTGGCTGTGGTGAGTGTGTCAGTTCTCAGCACCCCGGGTGGGTGGGGGGAGGGATCCCCTCAGACCGCTCCATACTCACAGCCCATTCCCTGCTGCTGAGCTATTGTGTTCACAGTCCGGTTGAAGTTGGACAGGGAGCGATGGATCAGCAGCTCCAGGTCCTGCCACTGCTTCGGGGTCAGGCCCTGCTCGACCCAGGGCTGCAGGAAGCGGATCTCGCAGGTGCTGCAGTCCATGGAGTTGGTCTCTAGGTCGCCCAGCAGGGCTCTCATATCCGTGTCCGTGGAGCTGGCGTTGTGGAAGACGTTGATGTGGAGCACCCGGAGGGTGACAGACACTGGTGGGAGAGGAGGGGAGGCTGGGGCAGGGGGCAGGGAACAAGTGGAGGACAAAGCGGGTGGGGAGAGAGATTAATGAGTCTCTGTCCCATAAACAATCCTGCACTACGGGGTCTCCCTGCTGATCCCTAACTTACTGTGAGGAAGTGGGGGATTTTCTTGTTTTCTGTGGGTTTCCAATTGTTTGCGTGCAGAGGGGGTGGGACTGGGCGTTACTGGTTTAACGATGTGAGGGGAGAGGGAGTTTGTTGTTACAGAGGACCGGAGAGGGAACTTGGGACCCCAGCCGATGGCCTGGAGAATGGAGACCCCAGCGATCAGTGACCTGAGACCCCGGAGACCCAGCTCAGGAGTCAGAGCCGGTTCTGGCCAGTGGGAGGACAATGGGCTGCAGAGTGAGGACCCAGTGACCTGACCAGTCAGTTCCAGCCAGAGGGGGACAGAGGTCCGAAGGGAGGAGAGGAGGCCCAGTGACTCTGTTTACGACCCTGTTTCCCTGGAGAGAAGACAATGGACAGAGGCGGGGCCTGGGGCCGGGGATCTCAGATGCCCAGCTGGGAGCAGGGGGCTCTGGGCTGGAGAGGGGGAGCAGGCAGAGCCCACCTGGATGCAGAGAGACTGGGGTGTGCTGGGCTGAGAGGGGCCAGGCCTGCGGCCCTGCGAGTTTCCTGTGCTGTGTTCAACTCTCAATAAACCCTCCTGTGTGACGCTGGCTGAGAGTCGCTCCGGGCTAGAGAACAGGGCGGGGTGGGGGGAGGCATCAACTCCTGCGGGGGTGGAGGCCCCGGGGGTCCAGAGTGAGGGGACTCCCAGACGGGGCCCATGGCAGAGACAGACGTGCTAAGGCTCAGAGAGGTGCGGCTCCAGGAGGTGGAGGGGCCTGACCCCGAGAGAGAGTGGACCCCCAAGAAGGGCTGTCGCACTGAAAGGGGCACCCCCCACGGACCGCACGGGGCCAGGAGTGGGCACGGTCTGTGAGTCCGTGACACCTGCCTCCCCCGTCCTACTCCCCCAGCCAGGGTCACTAGCCCAGCCTGGTACTTCCCCACCCTGGCCCTAGTATTATACCATCCCCACACATCCCTGGTAGCAAAAACAGCGGGGGGGGTCCCCACTTACAGGCCAGGGCCCCCCATGCCCAGGGGAGGAGCAGCAGAGGGAGCAGCATCCCAGCAGGGGAAGGGGGATCCGGGCTCTGGCAGGCGTCAGGGAAGTTCCTCTGCAGCCCACGCCCCTCTTTGCCAACTTCTCTCTCTGTCTGTCTCTGCTCAGCTCTGTTCCCGCAGCTGCCAGTCGCTGGAACCCTGCAGGGGCCCCGCAGGCTGGAATGCTGGTTCCCGCCCCCACATTCCCCCCAGCCCTGCCTCCCCCCTGTGGGGGGCTGGCATCTGTGCTCTCTGCTCGCCCCCTCCGCACCGCAAATGGGACAAAGGCTCCTTTTGGAGGCCCAGGACAGGGCTTTAAAAAGGGACGGTCACAACGAACACGGGACATATGGTCCCCTACTGCCCGGGCAGAGCCCCCTGCTGCCCCCGCCCCGCCCCCTGCAGCACAGCCCCTAGCGCCGCCCTGGGGCCATGGGGAGCCCTGACTGCCCGGGCAGAGCCCCCTGCTGCCCCCTGTGAAGAAGTGGGGATTTCCCCTTGTTATGTTGTATGTGAGTCTTACTGTTTTACACGAATACTGTGTGTGCCTCAGTTTCCCTATGTATTGCACCAATGTCTAGGTCAGGGGTATCAAACACGCAGCCCGAGGGGGCTCTTGCGTGTGGCCTGCCAAGCTCTCCACGCCCCCCCACTCTGCCTACCCGCGGGATTGCCGCCTGTGGTGTTGCGAGCCCCGCGCCGCTCTCTGAAGCGGCTGGCAGTGCCCCTTCGGGCCAGGGGGAAGGGGGAAGGAGGCAGAGGGCTCCGGCATTGCCTCCTTCCAGGCACCGCCCCCCGCAGCTCCCATTGGCCGGGAACAGGGAACTGTGGCCAATGGGAGCTTCGTGGGAGGTACCTGGAGGAGCGGCAAGAGCAGCACACGCAGGGAACCCTGAGCCCCTCCCCCTCCCCCTCGGGCTGCAGGGACACGGTTCTAGCTGCTTCCTGGAACGGAGCTGTGTGGAGCCGGAGCCAGGGGCCAAGGCAGGCAGGGAGCCTGCCCTGGCCCCAGTGAGCGCCGCTGCCACCCCGGAGCCGCTCTAGGTAAACGGCGCCGGGCTGGAGCTCGCACCTTGAACCCCTCCTGCACCCCAACTCCCTGCCCTGAGCCCCCTGCCACATCCCACACCCCGCCTGCACCCCAACTCCCTGCCCTGAGCCCCCTGCCACATCCCACACCCTGCCTGCACCCCAACTCCCTGCCCTGAGCCCCCTGCCACATCCCACCCCCCCACTCCCTGCCACATCTGCACCCGTCCTGCACCCCAACTCCCTGCCCTGAGCCCCCTGCCACATCCCACCCCCC